TCCGTCATCATCGACTGCGGGCTCGGGTTCTTCTTCTCCACAACTTTTCGTGTTGCTACCATTCAGTAGGGTGGAAAAGTGTTCCCTCCATAATTTAAGTACGTTATGAACATCGGTTACTAGGTCGCCATTGTTGTTCTTACAGGAGTACGCCCTGGTCTTGAAACCTTCCGTAAGTCGCCTAAATTTCTGGTAAAATTTTCGGGCATCCTTCCTCTCTCTTCTTATTGCGGCAAATACATTACGCTTCCCTCTTCAGATCCCTATAGCGGTCCCATATAGCAGGCGTTGTGCCCAATCGCAGCGTGGCCCTGTAGGCGGCATCTTTTTTCTCTGCAGCTTCCTGACACTCCTCATCATACCAGTTTTTCTTTCGGGCTCGCTGAAATCCGTCTACTTCTTCGGCGGCGGTACTTAATGAGCGGGAAATGTGGTTCCACTGCCCGCATATATCGCTTTGTTGAAGAGTGCTCTCTGGCTGTCTGTTGTGATTGCAGCTTTTCGACGTTAAGCTTTCCTTGCATATTTGGGCGCACATTTTTTACTGCACAGAGGCGGGTGCGTTTCTTGTTTGCAACAAGATAGTGGTCCGAGTCGATGTTTGGGCCTCGGAGTATGCGCACGTCCAAAACACTGGAAGCTTGCCTTCCGTCTATCACAACACGATCGATTTGGTTTCTCGTTTTTCGATCCGGAGAGCTACATGGCTAAGCTTGATGGATCTTTTTATGCTTGAACCTAGTACTGCATACTGCCATGTTTCGGGCCCGGCGAAGTCGAACAGCCTCAATCCGTTGTCGGACGTTTCGGAGTGGAGGCTTAATTTTTCGACGGTGGTTCCAAAGATACCTTCCTTACCCACCCTGGCATTGAAGTCGCCAAGCACGATTTTGATATTATGGCGGGGCAGCTCTCGTACGTGCGCTCCAAGCGCTCATGGAAGAGGTCCTTGGATGCCTTATCTTTCTCTTCCGTCGCGGCATGGGCGCAGATGAGCGAGATGTTGAAGAATCTCGCTTTGATGCGGATTGTGGCTAGACGCTCGTTCACCGGGGTGAACGACATTACTCGGTGACGGAGTCTCTCTCCCACCACAAATCCACCTCCGAATTTGCGCTCCTTTACATGGCAGCTGTAGTAGACGTCGCAAGGCCCCAGACATTGCTTGCCTTGCTCCGTCCAACGCATTTCTTGGATGGCGGTGATATCAGCTTTTGTCATTACGAAGACATCAACCATCCGGGCAGAGACACCTTCTCCATTAAGGGTCCGGACCTTCCAGGTCTATGCCCTCAAATCGTAATTCTGTAAGCGTTTGCCGCGGTCGTCATCATAAGGGGGTCTCATCCGAGGCTTTACCTTGCTTCTCCACTGGAAGTGGTTTTTAAGTGGCGGGTCCCAAACCCAGCGCACAACCCACTGCTGGGACTGGGGTGGCTTCAGAACCAAGTACATGTTTATATAGAGAGCCGCTTGCTCCAAGCAGACACCCGCTTGCAGCCGCACCTACCGGTGAACAGACGCTGCAGACTTCAGTGAGCCGTTAAACCGAATAAGTCGGAGTGGCCCCACCGAAGCTCCCTCTCTTTCTGCCGTGACCCAAGGCTGCACTCGGATTGGTTACCGCATCTCGCACATGGGTTTCTCACGTTGCCCAGAGCGCGTGAACGAGGACGCAAGAGTCGGGATTGAGTATAGCCGCGCAACTGTAACTGCATACCCAGCGCAACGACTTTACCCCATTGCAGTCCAATAACTGTGTACTGCCTTTAGGAAATTTGACACACGAAAATTTCTTAGCGATTTCTTGTACGTCATTTTATATGGAGTTTTTGCTTTTCTTGAGAGCTGCATACAGGTCTTTAAGGTAGAAAAGGCAAATATCTTAAAAAAGGCTAAAAAAGGCAACATCAAATGTGTATATATGGAATCAGGGAAATCTAAATCGTGGACATTCTTAATCGAATATACTCTATCTCTTTAGTAGAAAAAAGGCAATCTCCATAAAATACGTTCCCTGTTGATCATTATCGCCTTAATAAGGAAACTTTGGCAATGGTGCTAGACGTAAAAATTTCTTTAGTGCTGCAACTTGCATCGGCCTCAAAATTTTTCGCTGAGGGATCTTATCAAAGATCTGTGGGTAACGATTTTAGCGTATGCTTAGCGGGTAGCATGTTGTCAGTGGTTATAGGGGAAGTGCTGAAAGCCCTAGAACAGTTCATTTGCAGACGCTGAGTTAAATTTAAAATGAATGACATAGAAAACCGAAGGGCAGGAGAATATTTTTACACAAAATACCGTATTCCAGGAATTACTGAGTGCACTCATGGAACGCAAGGAAAATGAGTAAAATCGTCGATTGCTGAGCATTTAGGTGTTAATCAAAAAGGGTATTTCAGCATGAATGCGATCATTGTAAGTTAAAAAAGTAAAATGTGTAGGTACATCTACTATTTTATTATTATTATTATTACGACGCTTTTATCAACTTACAATGTTGTTTGTCCAGACACCTATTATACCAAAGTTTCTATACAACCCAGTCTAGACATCAACCTCGTTGGTAGGTAGCGTATCAAAGAGCATAAAATTAGACATTAGAGGTAGATGTATGAGTTGGTAACTAGTCTCTGAGACCAGGCAGGGGCCAGTTCGGAAACAGTTTGGGACAAGTCCGAAACTTTTCTTTCATAATATTTTGGGTCCAGTTGGTTTGTTTGAGCTCCCGTGGCCGTTTTGAGGCGTTTGAAGGCCTTTTAAGCTGTTTTTAGCGTGTTTTTGGACGCTGGGATTGCCGCATTACTATGTGTAAGCACCAATCTATTAATATCGTTGAATTATCTTAATATCTATTGCAAAATGTTATACAGACAAGACTAAAAAGCAGAAAATAAATAAAATAAAAAAACTTTTTAATATACCGCGCTCTTATAAATGGCCTAAAAAGTAGAAAATAATATTTCTCAGTCCCATAAAATTTGTTTTGATAACTTTTGATTTTGAAATTTTAGCAAAAGTCAATATAAACATAATTATAATTTTTTGGGCCAAATTCTTATTTGTTATGTTTGCTGGGTTGGAGCTGCTTCGGCCGATAGAGTTAAAAAAGCGGAAAAATTAAATTTTCCTTTTACCCTCCTACGCATTTCAACGCTCTCGCGTCTTCATCAGGGAGTCTTTATTCGAAAAATAAAATCAAATAAACAATAAACATGATTAGCAAGTAAAATTCGCTGATCCAATGATGTCATTATAAACAATTAACGAGATCGAAAATGAAAAGCATGGGGCGCATGTAATAGACTTGAATTGATATGAAAGGTAATATATGTGTTAAATCTGTATGTATGAGGGTATATGAATAACGATCGCTTAAAATCGATCTCAAATTTGTACTTTTGCTGTAGAATTGTTAGGTCTATGTTATGTAGTTTGACTATTGTCAATTAAATCTAATCGTCGTTTAAAGTACAAAAACGACGTAATGCTTTGTACTGCATGCGCTCCACGTTTTTCGTTTTCAAATACATAAATTGTTTATAATGGCTTTTGCTAAAATTTCAAAATCAAAATCTATGGGACTGAGAAATATTATTTTCTACTTTTTAGTCCATTTATAAAAGCGTGGAATATTAAAAAGTTGTTTTTATTTTATTTATTTTATATACATACATACATATGTACATATGTACATATTAATTTTTGAAGATTTGTTATAACGATATGTTAGTTCGAGCGGTTTATGCAAGATATATTGGTTCAAGCCATGACTCTTTTATCTGAAATATAAGCAGCGTTCGACATTTTATCTAAGCCGGCGGCTATCAGAGTGAACCGTTCCTTTTAACGCCATACAGAAACCCACAATATAACTCCCGCGAGCATAAATTTAATATGGCGCACTTTTCAGCGAGAAATATTGTGGAAAGAACAATTGGAGTGTTTAAAAGCCGATTCCGCCGCTTGATCAGCAACCTATATTATACTACCCCACAAAAGGTGGGTCCCGCAAATCCCGAGGACCCGCGGGATTGATGATCTCGATCCCGCACACTTGCGGGATTGCGATTTTTATGCGGGATGTAGCGAACCGTGTCGCATTCCGCGAACCGCTACTTTGGTTTTGCCGACTTTGACAGTTCTCATTTTATAATAAACAACGCCTCAAAAACTTTAAATGCACTGCAATTCAGCATACTTGCACTAAAATCACCGTTCGTTTCACATTTTATTTATAAAATCTTATTTCAAATCATATACAGTCAGTCAATAAAGTTTAGGTGCAGCGAATTTTTTACTATACGGGAAACTATTCTTTAAACATTTTATTTTTCGATAATTTTTTATAAAAATATGGTTAATTCTACAACAAAAAACCCAAAAATCAGAGTTCCAAACCTTGTGCAAAATTAAAGAAAATTCGGCAAAATTTCATTCAAATATTGCACTTTTTATTTACGTTCTCTAGAAAAAAGTTGAGTATGCAGTTTTTTAGTCCATTCTATTTTACTATAACAAAGTGTAAGTTTGAGGTGGATAGGACTTACCATTGATTTTTAGCAATTCTTTTTTGTTGGAGGTGTCGCTCATTTTCTCCATATAAAATAATGTTTGATAATTTTTTTATATGGAAAAAATGTCCGACACCTTCAACAAACAAATTTCCCATATGTAACGAAAAAGCCTTTGCACCAATAATTTTAAAATTAGAATGATAGAGTAGTGGAGTTAGACAAAAAAATAGATAGAGATGGCTGCCAAAACTATCGATAGTAATAACCTATAAACGATAGTGACAATAATAGGCAAAACATCGATACTATCGACAGTGCCATCGATAGTTTCCAGCTCTAGTGTCAGCTATTTACTCACTAGTTTTTTTCAAGTCTTCAATTCATTAACTTTCTTGGATTACTTTCTTTTACTCTATATTTTGCTTTTCCGTTTCACTTCGAAATTTTAATCCAAGACACTTTTGATTTCTTTTCTTTTTACAGCAATGGAATCTAAGCTAATTTGGATAATAGCTATATTTTATTCAACCCTTCAGCATATCGGCTCAGCCTCATCGCCATGTAAGTTAATAAACTTTGTAAATTATTACATTTAAAAAAATTTCACCAAATTGGGTAGAAGCAAATGAAACGAAAAAATTAAAATGGAATCTAAAGAAACCCCACTTGCGTATCTGATAGTTATACTATTTTAAGTTCAGTCAGTTAATCGAGCTTTCTCGATGAAGGCGCTGATTGACTTCGATTTACCATACAAACATTTTAATTATTAATTCTCGATTAGTGATGTTAATCCACTCAGAATTCTCATACGACTCTCTTAGGAACGTTTAATTTGGATTTTTGACCCTATTTTATAAGCAAATGACACGCAGCTGTTTTGTGTCGGGTAGTATTTCATAGCTGATAGCCAATCAGAAATGGAAAAGTAAGGAAAATTTTACCTAACTAGAGCAAACAATTTTCCTGAAAGTAGACAAAAATAAAATGTGAATAGAGTTATAAATGAAAATTACAAGGATAAAGCAGAAAGTGTTGAGTGACGTTATCTAGCTAATAATTTAATCAATAACACTGGATCACAAATTTTAGTTTGGTTTTTGTTCTCCGGACGCCACTATACAATTTCTATGGAGAATTGCCCGGTGATTCGGAAAATCGAGTTAATTTTTTCTCTATGGATAAGTTTTCGAGATATTTGCAATTTACCGTTATTCAGCTTAAGTAGTTCCGCTTAATTACGTGTATCTTACGAACCAATTTAACAATCTTAAAACGAGATACGTCAAATTAATGCTAATAGAATTCTCCATAAACCGTGTATACAACACCTTCCGATAGGACTAATAGTTTCTGACAAATTAATTAATCATTCCAGTTTTTTATTATTTAATAAAAATATTTAAAAGAAATCAAATTTTAACAGAAGAAAAATTGAAAAAATAACAGGTTGTGTTCCAAATTTTTGCGTTTGAGATAAAGCCTGTTCTGTTACAAAAAAAAAAATCAAGTTACTAATGAAGAAAATCGATGTATAAATAAGAAGTAATGAGTGGTCAAATGAAAATGTGCAAAGATTTTTTGTATGAAATATGAACAGAAAAGCGTGTTACTCAGGTTAACGTGGCGTATGAGTAACTTTCTGTCCTCTAATTTTTCATACAAAAAATCTTTGCGTATTTTCATTTGACCACTCATTATTTCTTTATTTATCCATCGATTTTCTACGTGATAAGTATTAGTGTAGGGCTGGGGATACTCATACTCTCCTTTTTTAACCGACTTCACAAAAAGGAAAGGTTATGGATCATGAAGAAATTAACGATAACCTTAAATTTGTATATGAGAATTGAAGTTGGTTTTGTATTTTGCTTAAAAATTACTTGTTTTAAATCATATTTACATTCAATTGCAGAGAAAATTTGGTTGATGCTCTGTTATAATACATACAAAAACGGAATTGCATAATCCATAATAAATAGAGATGAAGGAAACATTTATACGCATAACGTATTTTATTATATGTATATGTCATAAGAACACTTCTGCGTTTTAACATATGTACTACGTTTGCTACAGCGGAAATAGACGACACGTCATTCTTTAAATAAAATTAATTGGTGCTCGTTTGTATGTACATACAT